CGGTATGATGAACTTCTTTTTTACACCGTACGTGGCCAACCATGCAAATTGGTGGTGCGGGGGAAGGAGAACAAACCGAACACGCAAATCAGTTCTAAAGCAACGAGTTTTCAATCTATATTTAAAAGTGCATAGTGGCTTCCTAATATCGGAATGAAGAGCGTTCCAGACGGAAGAAAACACGCATCTGAAAGCATGTGATGCGGTAACCATCTTTGTTCGAATTTACACCGTTTATAGCTCTACAGAGCAATATTTACCAATAGCATTTCTTTAAATTATCTCAGGAGACTAATACCACGTCAGAGTACTGAGGTGGCACCATCAAGATGCTGGGTTCAAAGCTGGGTTGCAACAGGGGTAGCCACCTCTGAGATCCAGAAACAGCCGAGATATACAGTAGAACCTCGGAGATCGAATGCACCAGAACTCGAACAAATCGGTGTTCTAGCCATATTTCGGAACATTCGTTGCCCCGGAAACCGAACGAAATTCGGAGGTTGAACGGGCAACCGCGACTTGAAAGAACCTGTACACGGCTGAGACGCGTATGGCCAGCAGCGTGCGTGACGCTTGCCCAGAGAAAGGTTTTACCGTATGAGAGGAAATGTCCTCAGAGGAGGAGGAGGGAAGGGATGATGCCCCCTAGTTCAGTGATAAAATAAATGCGTGCAAAATTGGTTGAGTTACAGAGTTTTTTTTTTTAAATATCACCCAGATAAAGCAGTAGCCAACCGAGTGAGCAATCTTTTAAATGGTAATGCAATGTGTCATTTTCGAAACATCCAAAGATGGAGGCAGAAACAAACCTCTTTAGATAAGTTTTTAGTCAGAAAGAGCTCAAGTGACTCACAGTTAGTGGCAGACAAAAGGCACAAAAGAGAAAGGACCCCAGAAGGGCAGTTACCCGACATTATTATTGAAGGGGACTCCGCTTACTCTTTGGTTCTATTCGGTAAAGTCACGTAGGTAAAAAATAAAACAACAAAAATCACGACGTTTCGGCCACAACGCAAGCGGCCTTCATCAGGTGAAGGGACCAGACTGTCTCGAGGACAGCGCTGGAGTGAAACAGAGCCAAGCTCAGACCGCGACCTTTAAGCTGTGTGAGAGTAATTAAGGTGCCTTGACAAAGGAATTAGCATAAAAATTTGCATTTAATAGGCGGACTCAGCATGATGAAAGGTGGGGAGGGGGTGAACATGTGCAGGCTCGCGAGGGGGCAAGGTAGAGTCCACATGCTGGTGGTGTGAAAAGGGAATTTTAAGAAGCTGCGAAAGTTTGGGGTACCACTACTTGAAAAATATACTGTACCATTGAAAATTAGTTTAATGTTTGGTTCGATTTAGAACATCTTTCCAATGGTTGCTTAATTTGAAACCATCTTCTCGGTTGAAATTGTATCTGTGTTTGTAGATCTGAATCTCTGATAAAAAAAACCCGTGGGTTTGCAGAGAACCTTGGTATCGGAGAAAATTATATTGTGATCACCCACAGCGTTGTAACAGTGATCAGCTACGGCAGAAGAATTCGTTCTGCCGTGTTTCAAATCTGATTTGTGCTCGCGAATTTGGTCAGAGACATGTCGCTTCGTCTCCCCGATATAGCAATCACCGCAGGTACAACTCAATTTGTAAACCCCGGGGTACTGTAAGTCAGGAATGACATCCTTCACGGATGGGATCAGATCACGAATTTTGTGTACTGTATTGAACCACCTCCTCACCACCTTCCACTCAAGCCTTCAACTCTCCTTACTACAAGTAAAGTGAAGTTCAATAAAGTTCATTTGTTTCATTTATTCCATATATTTATTCATTTTTTTCCATTTTTTATTGTGTTTCTTGTTTTTTTAATGCATGTAATTGCTGTAAACTTGGTGTAAAAATGCTTTATAATGAGAGATTTCTTGTGTCTGGAACCAATTAATGTCATTTACGTGAATTCTTATGGGGAAAATTAATTCGATGTTCGAACAGATCGGTGTTCGAATGGCCTTCTGTATCATGGAAAGAATAATCTTACAATACCGGAAGATGGGAGAACTGCTTGTAACTGATGAAACCCAGGAATTTTTTTGTTGCGGGAAGACTTGCAGATATGCTAGGACAGCTCCCTCAAGATGAGGACGATCCTGGGAAAATCAGAGGACAGCTTCGCAAACCCCATGCATCAGTGGCATTTGTTTAGGCAAACTAGCCTATGGCACATTACAACCCCGTTGAAAAAGCATTATCTCAAAAAAATTGTCAACGTTTATCAACCGTCAACGCATTTCTATAGCCTTTCGACAATGTTGTACCCGCATACTGTATTGTCAAAAGGTTCACACATGAAACGCATCCACAGTAATGTTGACCAAGTGGTGGAGCCGTCAAACATTCTCGCAGATGCCTGATAAAATCTCCATGCACTTCCCACCACCTATATATAGTGCACAGTGCAAAACTGCCTTCAGGCTCGAATGATCATGCTCAGCACTTTCTCAGTGCTCTGTAACGCGCGACGAGCACCACAAAAATTGTACTTTGGTCGGGTGGAGCAAGGGAGAGCGCACTGTTGCTATTCGTCAGGGCACATGAGCTTGATTCCTTGCCACGCCTAACATCAGTGGTGAGTGATATCGAAACTGGTCCTGGATCCCCCCGCCCCCCACCCCTCAGCCACCAAACTTCACCAACCCGTACCGACCAGTGCGGTGAAGTGTGATGAAAACAACCTCCATAACTGAAACAACGTAGGGAGGCCTTCATCCAGCAGTGGGTCAATAGCAAGCTGTAAATAATAATAGTCGTTATTATTGTCGTGGATTCCAACACGATGTGAATTACCAGTTTTCGCGGTGGCGAGATGTTAATTACTATCATCTGGTATTCTTTGTTAAGGACGTTGGCATTGTCCCGGCCTGCTCCCTGCTGTGTCTCAGGACTGAACGAGGGCTCTCTGAATGCTCCGCACTCGATGCCAAAGTGAGTTGTGGCACAGCATTCTGGGCCTTGAGAGATTATGAAGGTCCTCTTGGATTGGTGGGGTTCGGGTTGGCCGTGATGCGGATGGGGACGTCAGATCCCCTCGTGCGCCCTTGGAATTTCGGGATTTTCGACCGGCGCTCATTTCAGTGTCTCCTCTTGCGATGCGCAACGCGACATTTAAGTTGTGAGCTGCTGGACCAGAATGGGGCCCAGTATTCGGCCGTTAAGTAAAATATCAGCCCCCAGTTAGTGTACTTGGAATTTATGCTCAGAGACACGTAAAAGGAACATATGAATTCCAGGATATGCACAAGATAAAGACACCTCCGATTAGCATGGTTGGATATGTACGGTGCGAAAGAAGTTCAATGTAGTCAGAAGCATTGACAGAGTGGCAGCCAAATGACGAAACGTACCCTAGAGGATATAGATAGAGAAATGAACTCATCGGAGTCGTAGGTGCACGACCAGGGCTGGGCAACCTGCGACTCCAGAACCTCATGCACCTTATCATTATACCTCCTTCGCCAAAAGGCGTCATCTGGTCGAGCACCAATTGGGTCGAGGCTCAAAAGAAAGCCGTCCCTTGGTGTGGACCAATCAGTTTCAAGGACAATGCCACATATATTATCACAGTATGTTTTTTGTTTGCATTTTGACTGCAGGTATTGTGGTTAATGCAGTGACACGAATCCTTGTAAAAAAAAGGTTTCAGTTTTGTTGCCAGAAAAAAGAGGAAAAACCCTATTATTATCGCATGCGGCTCATTAAGGATTCTTTCGCGACCGTTATTTATTAAGGACCAACGTCTCGTATTCACCACGTTGCATTGCGGCTCTTTAAATATATTTTTTTACCGAATTCGATAAAAAAAATCGCTTTTCTTGTTGTTTTGGTTTCCGACCCCTGTGCTAGACTGATTGTAGCACGACAGGACCGTGAACCACTAACTTTTATTGAACCAGGTAAGACCCACTGAGCTCTACAGCTCTTTTTTCAGAAACTACCTGGCCACAAATGATAGTTCAAAGAAGTGGCTTGTAATGTTTGAAATGTACAGCAGCTAAACACTAAACGCACGTTGATTCTAAATGTGGAGAGCAAATCTGGAGGGCTCGGAGGAAAAATCACGTGACCGCAGGAAGAGAGAGACACGCAAACTCCAAATATGCAGGCGTCAGGGTCGGGATCGAACCCACGGCCTTCTGCACACCACGCGATGTAGTTAACTTCTCGTGAGGGATGGTGATGACTTGGGGAATCCATTATGCACAGCAAAGGATTGTGCATAGCTGATAAGGATGATGATGATCATCATCATAATAGCAAATTCATTGATGAACTATCTGTATGGTTATGGGAGGGTTATTCCCCCTTATGCATGGATATTCTTTAGGTCCTCCGGTTTCTTCCAACATGCAAGACACTCATTAAAGAATTAGCGAAACAATCCACAAGGGCACATGCAGGACCCTCCAGAAAAAAAAGTATTCAGCCTCAGTGAGGCTATTCTGGACAAATAAGCGACATCATTCCAATGACGATACCACAGGCATGTAATGATGCATTCATTAAAGTGTATTATCATACTCGCAGAGGAATCGATATATGCTGCATTGTATGTAATTGGGTCGCGTATACCCAACCGCGTAGGTTTTCACAGTTGCGCTGTCGAGATCGCTGATGTGTTTTCAGGTCGTACTGCGTGTTTCGGCGGCATATGCTGGGGGCTTTTTCGGGAGCTGCATTGAGCAGCTCGCGTTCTTCTGCTCAAATCAGTTCTGCTCAATTAAATTCCCGAATGAAGCTTCCAGCACGCGGAACAAAACGTTGGCCATCATACCGAACAACTTGTTTCCGTACGACGCGAAAACAGATCGCATAGCTACATGTCAACCGTGCAATTGCTAGAGGCGTCGCGTTCATCGCAACCCTTACACTACAATTCATCAAATCTGGAGGGCGGGGGGGGGGTGGGTGGGTGCAAGGTTGTTGCATGCGTTATAACCAAACCTCTCTGTGCACCAGGTGAGCGCATTCATCAATGCGATCGACCCCGGCAACAACAACTTCGGGAGGGACCTGACCGGCCTACGCTTCGCCTCCTTCAACCCCATCCTCGACCCATGGATCTTCATCATCTTCCGCCGGTCGGTGTTCGAGCGCCTGCGCTCTGTGCTCTGCTACTGCCTCGTGCTGCCGCGGCACAAGCGCAACGCGGCTTCCGCCAGCCTCCACCTCCACTCCGAGCCGCCGTCATCGCTGCCGCCCGGCGCTGCCCATGACCCTGCGTCGAGCTGCCATTTCAATCCGTGGCGGTCGGATTCGTGCGCGAGCAATTGTGCGTGCGACGCGTCACGCGGGCGGCCCTGGCAGGCCGACCCTGGTCCAGGCGGTCACGTGTGCACGAGCGATCCGTGCGACCTGCGAACTCGGGAGGCGAAGGCAGTCCCCCACGGTTGCGAGTGCGCACGCACGGCGTTGAGCAGCCAGCCTCGGCACGTGGGTCCCCGTCCTGGCGCCTGCGCGTGCACAAGCGCGGCGGACGGCCCAACGTTGGACCGCCAACCTCAACCTTGGCGGGCGGACTCCGGCCCACTCGGCCATTGCGTGCGCGCGGGCGCCGCGGGTGGCCCGCGCGGGCTGCCGGGATCGACAGCCGGCGCCGCCGTCCTGGCGGCTGGGGAAGCCTGCGCCGAGGACGTCGCTGACGTGCAGATGTCCCTGCCGTGAGGGCGTGGGAACGTCGCTCGCGGTCGTGAACCCGCGACCGGTGGGCACTCTTCCCGGCGTCCTGACTGGAAGCGTTTAAATTGACACTGGGAAAAAAATCTTCCCACGCAGTGCGTGTTCTGGAAAACTTATCCGGTGAAACTCGCGAGCGAGTATCGCATCGTGACGGTTTTTAATCCGCTTCAAAGGTCGCCTGTACAGATGTCCGCGTTGCTTGCGTCGGCGAAGGGATCAGCAGCTGTAATCGCGGGGTGGTTTATTCGGCATGCGTGCGGAATAATTTTCATTAGTGGTGAAACGTGACTGCAATTCACGACGCTGTGTAGGAGCGTAAAGTCTTTTATGTCAGGAAATACATGATAACGTGTGTTGCTACAGCACAGTTAAATAAGACACTACGTGCCAAACTGTTGCTTCTTTTGAATTATTAAACGTACAAATATTGTCCCACTGTACATTATATTACCATTGGAGTGTATAGTCACGCTTAGAATTTTGCTATTTCCATAAGACTATTACGATACTACTTTATTATTTACCAGCTAAAGCCCACTGAGCCTTTAGCTGTTTTATAAAGGCAACCTGGCCACACGTAATATCTCTTCGAAGTGGCTTATATCATCATCATACGTGGCAGTTTATGGCAGCAGCCAAATAATCTGAACGCATGTTTCTCAACGTGTAGGGGGGGCAGCACTGGTAGACCAGCAGAAAGTGCCACGTGACCATGGGGAAAGAGAACACACGCAAACGCCAACCATACAACAGGCGTCAACAAGGTTATGATCGAACCCACGAGCTCCTGCGTACGAGGCGAGGGAGATAACGTCTCGCCACATTGCGGCCTCGGAAGAAACGCTCAAATGCGAGCGTCGCCTTAAACGGTCGGATCCCGAGGTCTCTTTGCACCTCGGTTTAAGGATAGCATCCAAGTAAACGCTCTTTCGAAACCACCCACACTGCGTATCAAACAAAGCCCAGCAGAGTGGTATGGGGGAGATGGAGAGGGTGGAAGGCTCGAGGTGCCCCCCACCCCCCACCCCGTCTAAGTTCCTATACCGCAGTCTAGTCATGTTGGTGCAATATTTATTCGTGTGCACATGGGAGGTGAGAGCCACATCAGAATGCACGATCTCGCATCGTTCGTTGGCCCGTGCAGCGTTTGCTTAACGTTTGGTTCGTCGTCGTTGACCATGTGGTGTGCCCCCTCCCACATCCCCTCCCCCCCCCCCCAACTGGGCTTTGCACACCCTGCACCGCTGGCTTATTAAAACGGGGTTTGGAGCTACACGGACGCCAGACGTTACATCACCGCTCTTAAATGACAAAACTGTGGCGAGCACATTCGTGAACACGGCGATATTTACCCCGAGCAGCGGTAAAAAATACAATTTTAATAACCCTTAGACGGTGATTGCATTGCCAGACGCGGCAGCGCATGTTTTACTGGGTGCACTTTTAAATGTCTTGCCGGTTTTTTTGGGAGACATGACAAAAGCTTCTTCGCCATTAAAAGCATACTCTTTGGTTCTTTCGGTAAAGTTATGTAGGTAGAAAAAAATGTATATCACTTGTGGAAACCCTTGCCGTATGGATTCCTGCAGTCACGAAAGCTTCAATTCAAGATTCCATTGAAAGCCTTAAAAATTGCCCAGAATAAAACCCGCGTATTTTTTTTTTTATGACTTAATAAATGGTGATGAACGTGCGCGCTTCTGCTGACGCACACACGAGGCATTTCGACTTCAAAACAACGGCCCCACTTGAGACCATGTGGGGTTTTTATTAGCTTGGCGCAGACTGATAAGAAACGGACGCTTCCGAAATTCGACTTCTCTAATATCACGAGTGCCTGAGATGGGTGTGACCTTAATTTAACCCCGCGTGTGGAGTCCACCTTTGAGTCTTAATATCGCGTCCCTTGAAACACGTCGCACCTCCGATTAGCAGGGTTGGCCACGCACGGCGCAAAAGAAGTTCAACATACGCACGTACATCATCGCAATCATCATCAACCATGGTGGAGCCACTGCTGGCTGAAGGCCATAATCCACGCAGCGGCCGCATCACGTGAGCTCATTTCATCGCCTCCGTTCCATCGGTGGACGTCCTCTCGGACGCGTTCCGTTGGCTAGCTGCCACCACTCCGCCACCGCGCTTGAGCATCGACCATTGTCTCCTCTCGCGACGTGTCCTGCCCAAGCCCGCTGACTTTTTCTCAATGTCATCGAAACTCTTTACCGTTTTAGCTCTTGTTGTTGTTGTTACCGTCGTCGTTAATGACCATGTGTCTGAACCACGTGTCGGAGCGGGTATTAGACACTGATTAGAAAGCAGACAAAACATAATAAAAACAAATGCCATTTAACAGATAACAGGGGCCAGGTTCATTTTTTTACAAATTGGCTGAATAGCATAGCCTTGGTGATTTGACGCAACGTTGGTACTGGTACCATCGGAAGGTCGGCCAACACGTGAATAATGTCCATCAAGCCACAAAGACATTCCTAAGGGTAAGTGTGTTATTCCACTAAGTGTATCATTAAAATGGAAAATACCATTGATAAACCTATGTACTATGTAACGCTTACAGCGGAGTGGAACTTGAGTTATAAATACACGGAAATTCGCTCTGTTTTGCGAGCGAATTGAATAGTTTCTCAGATCGTGCATTTTTTCCCGCAGTGGAGTGGATATTTGGCCTCTGCTTAGACACTGACCAGATGTCTCGGAAGACGTGGGAGGACCCACACGTTACTGAACTGCACTTGAGCTGATAAATCGTGTCACTGCCGTGGGATCCATTTGTATTGCCGGATGGGCAGAGGCCCGATAGGTTTGAGGAGCTTGCACCGTTGTTTTAACTGCCGCGCCGGGAGAAACAACCGGCGCCCTCTGGTTTGTGAGCTCCATACTCCTGCTAACCATTACAGCAATGCAGCATTCCAGTATTTGTTATCTGTGAACAAATAAACAAAGTTCATTCCAAAAATAAATAAGTAAATAACACGCCCAGAGTCACGTGTTCCCTTGCATTTTCAAATTAAATGTTATTTTTGGTTAAAAAAAATGTTTTTAACATACTTTGGTGGTGCTGTCGTAAGCGTTTGTAAGTTACAGCCTTGTCGTGTTCATTCCATGTGTTTTGCAGAGCTATACAAACAACCTTCGCATATTCTCAACCTTTCTACTAAATTCTAGGGGGCTAAGGGGGCCCCCTAGGAATTAGTGTGATGTCGATGAAATTCTCCTCTATCTAAAATGAGGCCTAGAAGAGGGTTAAATAATTAGCAATCATTTAGTACGTTTAGTATTCATGCCACATAGCGCCCAGCTATCACGAAGGTGCTTAGTTCACAGGCCAGTAGATCTTCCGGTAGTTTGACAGTAAGGGGGCGATGTTGCCATGTGGTTTACATAACTCAGCAATGTACCAATAATGTTCTGATTCCGTGGACCCTGTGATCGCTTTGTGTGAATCTGCTGTGCCGCGTTGCGGCGGGAACGATGCACAGAATTTGTAAGGTTCGCCGTGGAACATCTCCAAATATTAAAATGCCACCTCCTGTGCTGAAGTCGTTTTAGAGAAGCGGTGAAAATATTTAGAAATTGCCCTCGATGCCAAAGCCTTGCCTCACGCAGACGCTGGCCTCGTGCACTCCTGTGTGCCAGGATCCGTGCCAGCATCACGTTGTAACAACAATAATTATTATTAGTTCAACTTGTAATGTGCCGCCGTCGCCGCGCACGGTACTCGCTCGCTCTCGAAGGGAGAGGGGACGACTCAGAGGAGCAAGAAGGAGCCACAGACAAGCGGGGAAGGGCAGCAGCAGCAGCAGCAGCCAGGCCATGAGCTGGCACCAAATCCAGAGCCCCCGCCACCCCCCGCCCCAAGCTCTGCGCTCCTATAGAAATTAAAGTGGTATCGACCAATTAACGAGTATTTACATGTGGAGAAAACTGGAGCACCCGGAAGAAACCCACGTGCGCGAGGGGGCAACACTCAATCCTATACAGACGAAACAGGTGGAGTCAGCATCTTTGCTGTCCTGCCTTCTGACGAGCCAGGGTAGGGCACTTCGTAGACACCCACGTGAAGGGAGCTTCACAAACATCCGTGAGGTGATGATCCACCAACCGTTGGTGCCTCCACAGTGCTGTATTACGGGCCACGTGCGTAGCCACCGCCACCTGGCTGATCTGATTGTATAGAGCCATTAAAATTGATGACTAACACCGGATTATTGCACCCACCGTCGTGATCAGACGATCAAAGGATGAGCCTATCGTGTCGAGACACCTCAGCCGTGATGTATGTGCTGTTGGACGAGGCCCTTCCCTGGCCGTTGCCACCTCTGTCGGTCGAGGCAACGTCCCAGCTCGAGCTGGCGCCGGTCTGGTCGACGAAGAGACTGGAGCGAGAGCTTTGAAAGTGCGCGACGAAGCGTGCAAGGAGGTGCACGCTCGGGATTGCACTGAGAGACGAGAAGAGAAAGACGCGGCTCGGCGAACAAATACAAAGCGGAGACGTCACATCGACCGTTGAGCAACGTCGCTTTTGAAAAAAATGGAGTGGGGCTTTGTCTGGTAGGATGGGAATAGTTTAGTTTGATTTGCGTGTGTTTGGGTGGTTTGCTTGCCTCCGTTGTCCTTTGCACTCCTGTCGTGTTGTGTACTGTTTGTTGCAACGTTCTTACCCGCCCCGACTGGACATCTGTGAAAAATATATTTTGTAGCGCTTAGGGATTCCTCCAGCGTCGAATCAATATTCTGTTTCTGGAGTGGGCTTGGGCAGGACTCGTCGATGGAAGGAAGCACGGAAAGCCATGGAGGCTATCGATGAAGTGGCAGCCAAAGGAGGGAACGGGCTTCAGACGACACCGATGATGTGCCCTGCAGTTAAATCGCGCACGTCAGAAGGTTATCATTGTTGACGCACATTTGTTTACATCACCACTCCGCGGCAGATGCTTTAGACTTATTGGGACCCCGTATGGCGAGGGGTGATGGATCACGCAAAAACCTGGTGGAACATTCGACACGGCACATTGATGGATGAAACCACTGCGACTACCATAAGGTGACGCATCACGGTACCGTTACAAACCGATTATCCCTTGGCCAGGCAAAAAAAACACTGTGCAGTTAAAATTTAATGAGCTAAAGCTGTGAAACGTCACATCCCTTGCTCGCTCCCGCACGCTCTCCACACATTCTCCCCGCACTCCCGTATCCTCCTCCTCCTGACCGCTCACCTCCCCTTCAGCCTCCACATCTGCACAGCAAAGTGCAAACTGCGTTTTCACACAGGAAATTGGCCCAGGCTGTGATCAGAAATCGACTTTGGCTAAGAATTTGGCAAGCGCTCGTCACAAAGTGTTTATATTTATTGATACTTGTGTGGGGAGTGGTAGTGTAGCGGCGGTCAGCGCGCTGGGCTGCGGAACCCGGCGACCCGAGTTTGATTCCCGCTCACGGCTAAAACCAGTCACGAATATTTGGGCCGGTCCTGGTCCGCTTCTAGGTCGACTCAGCCTCTAAAGAGTACCTGCTGCGGTGGTGTAAAACATCACCACTGAGGAGACAAATGCATTTGGGCGTGGTACTGGCTACCCACCTCCTCGTGTGCCGTGCTCACCTTCGTTGGTGCTCGCTAATAAAACTTG